AATCTATGAATGACATATTAAAAATCTGTAAATAATTTAATTACATTGCGAAAAATATTACCTTGGCTGGGAGTCAAACCTGGATCGCTTGCTTTACACGCAAGTGTCCTAGCCAATTAGACTACAATGAACTAATGTCTACATTTATTTGTCAGGAGGATTTGGTATAGATTTTTCATGTAATATTGATAATGTGGAAGAAGGCATTGCTAAAGTAGCAAAGGGATTGTTAGAACATGGAGTAACATCCTTTTGCCCTACATTGGTTACATCTCCTACTGAGATATATCACAAAATCTTACCAAGAATAAAGAAACAAAATGGAGGTAGTCATGGTGCTGGCGTGCTAGGTGTTCATATAGAAGGACCATTTATTAGTCCAAACAAGAAAGGTGCCCATCCAGAACATTATATCAGAAAATTTGAACAGGTAATAGTTTAATTTATTCTGTAATTTTTAGTAAATTATAAAATAATCAATATATTTTATGTTAAAAATTTATATATATTTTTTCTAATAGGGATTTAAATCAGTAACTGATATGTATGGTGATCTAGACAATGTGTGCATGTTTACGTTAGCACCTGAGATATCGAATGCTACATCTGTTATTGAAGAGTTATGTAGAAGAAATATTAAAGTATCTCTTGGTAAGTTAAAATTTTAATATTCTCAATGTTAATATACTTTCATGATATAATTAAATGCAATTGTTCTTATTTTGGAATTCTATATTTCAATTTTTATAATTTATATATATTGAATCTCGTAGATTGGTATAAAGTTCTTTAAATCAATATGTATACCAATTTATATATTCTAGGACATTCTGTAGCAAATTTAAATGAAGGAGAAAAAGCAGTTAAACATGGAGCATCGTTTATCACTCATCTATTCAATGCCATGTTGCCTGTGAGTTGGAAAGATTTAGAATATGTTCAAAAATGACTTGTGTACAAGGAATGAAAGTAATCATTTCTCAATCTTTTAAACGCTGGATATGATTTTGTTTATCAAATAATTTTATTACATTTTTTTAGAATTTATAGTTAACGTTGCAAGAAAGACTTATTTTAACATATTTTATCATATTATAACTATAATATTTGTTGGAGAAGTTTTATTGCAATCAAAATAAAATATATTGTGATTATTTTTAGTTTAAAGAAATTGTATCAATTATGGTTAATAAGATATTAAATTAACGTAAGACTTATTACATACATATTATTGCGACTGTATTATTAAAAATTAATCAAAAATATTTTTTAATTATATTATTCAAATTTGTTAGGATGCCGATTAATCTGATAAATATTGTTCTAATAAAAAAATTTATATGATAAATTAGTCTTTTTTGTGACTTTAATCTTAATTTTTTATTTAATTATGATAATTTGATAAACGGAATTATATTCAGCGTAGAGAAAACTAAAATTTAATTTAATTTGTTGTACGCTGGTCTAACAATGTGTGGGGAAAAATAAGTAAGGGGAAGTTATTTCAAATTATTAGAGTTGCGTTTTAAAGACCGGTTGTGTTCGGCGCGCAATTTGGGGGAACTTTTCAACGTATATTACTTGAAAATATTGCGAAGAA